GACAGGCTTTTACCAAGGAATTTACAACTTTTCCATATTTTTATCCCTTGCCAGAGATGGTCCACTTACTAAAGAAACATAGATCCTTGTAGCACATTAACCTCATTGCCATTCCAAGAGGAGGAAAACATCTGAAGATTATTTCAGAAAATATCCAGATAAGAGGATCTTCCTAAAGTTCTCTCGTTACATTGGCAATGACAACTGGGTTCCAGGAGGGTGATGCAGAATGAATCTTTTCCTTAGGCATCGTTCTGTGTGCTTCACAAGTATCAATTCAGTTAAACATCATGCTGGTCCTATGACATAGGTTCTAGGTGTTTGTATTGTTGCCAATTTTGTACAAGGAAACTGAAGCACAGAATGGATAAGTAGTTTTCTCAAGGTTGATGTTAATTAATAAGCATGTCAATGAGAAGTTCAAATCCAAAAATTGAGATGAGTCAGGAACAAGTAATAGGCCATGGAAGCAAAAGACTTTTCTAGAAATAAAAAGTAATTACCACTATGACAGCATAAAATTCACTGATAGGGCAGACCCACAAATGAGAACAGAAAGGAAGCAAACCTTATCACTACACAAAACCATAATATGTAAATGACTTATAGTCCCCAATTAAAAGATACAGACTGGCTGAAATTGATTTTTTTTAAAAAGATCAACCTGTATTCTGTCCACAAAAAACTCACCCGTAAAGGCACACATAGACTGAAAGTTAAAAGACAGAAAAGAGATATTCCATAAAAATGGAAATCAAAAGTGAGAAGGAGTAGCAATACTTATATCAGACAAAAACAGACTCATGGTAGTCAACTTTCCATCATTATAACAAAATACCTGAAATAATCAACTTATAATCAAAAAAAGCTTTGTTGTGGCTCAGAGTCTTCGAAGTTCTAGTCCATAATTGACTCCATTGCTTTGGGTCAAGGGTGAGGCAGCATATAGCAGATCAAAACCACTCACACCACAAGCCAAGGACTAGGGTCATACAACCCCCTTCAAGGGCATATCCCAATGATCTGAGGACCTTCAACTGGGCCCCACCTCCTAAAGGGTCCACCCTTTCCCAATAGTGCCACCATAGGGATCAAAACTTCAATACATGGGGACATTCAACCTCCAAATTATAGCAAGATTTTAAGCCAAAAACTGTAAAAAGAGACAAAGAAGGTCATTATATAATGATAAAAGAATCAATTCAGCAAGAAGATACAAAGATTGTAAATATACCTGCAGCCAACACTGAACCATCTAAATATATAAAGCAAACACTATTAGATCTAGAGGGAGAGACAGTGGGATTTGAAGGTGCACTTGATGTGGAGCCACTGGACCCCACACTTAGCAACACAATAATACTGAGGGCTCTCACACTCTACTTTCATCAATGGACAGTTCCTCCAGACAAAAATCAACAAATCTAACAGACATTTACAGAACATTTCATCCAACTGTCATAGAATATACATTATTCACATCAGCACATGGAACATTCTCCAAGATAGAACATATTGGGTGATAAGACAACTCTCAATAAATTTGAAAAAATCAAAATCGTATCATGTATCTTAATAAACTTAGAAATCAAGTTTAATCAGGATGTATGAAAATTGTAAAAATGCATGGAATGTAAACAACATGCTCCTGAATGACCAGAAAGTCAGTAGAAAAAAATAAAAGGGATAACTAAACGTTTCTTAAAATAAATGAAAATGAAAACACAACATTATCTTAAATGTCTCCCAATGGCTCAAGTATTAAAGCCTTGGTCCCAGATGATGGTGCTGCTGGGAGATGGTAGAAACTTTAGGAGGTGGGGAATAGTGGAAGGAAGTTAAGTAAGGGGTAAGAGGCATACCCTTGAAAGAGTTTTTGGGACCTCAGCCCCTCCACCATCACTCTCTTTGCTTCTCAGTCATGAGGTGAACAGTTCTGCAGCATTATACCTTCCCTGCCATGACATACTGCCTTGCAACAGACCCAAAGCCACAGGGCCAAGTGAAACTGTAAGCCAAAATAAGCCTTTTATCCTTTAAATTGTTTATCTCTGGTATTTTGTCACAGAGCCAGAAAGCTGACTGACACAGATACCAAAATCAATGGAATGAGCTGGCGAAGTTGCTCAAGCAGTAAGAGCACCTGCCTAAGAAGCATGAGACCCTGAGTTCAAATTCCAGTGTGGCCAAAAAAAAGAAAAGCCATGTCACCAAAACCAATGGAATAAGCAAAAGCAATTCTAAGACAAAAGTTTATAGCAACAAATGTTTATATTGGAAAAAGCAGAAAATATTCAAATAAACAACTGAACACTGAGCTAAAAAGCAAGAACAAACCAAACTCCAAATTAGTAGAAGGCAACATGATTTATTATAATTCTAGTACCATTAATTCTATTTCAACCAAAGAATCAAGAAATAATAAAGATCAGAGGAGAAATAAATGAAACTGAGACAAAAATATAATAGATCAACAAAACAAAAAGTTGGGGGTTTTTTTGCAAACATAAAAAGATTCGCAAACTTTTAGCTAAGCTAAGAAAAAAAGAGAAAGGATCAAAAAAAGATGAAAAAGGAAACATTGTTACTAAAAAAGAGGACAAAGGATCATCAGGGATTATAATGAGCTACTAACAAATTGGAAAACCTAGAAGAAATGGAAAAATTCCTGTGCACATATAAACTACCATAAAGAAATAGAGAACACAAACAGACTATCAACAAGCAATGAAACTGAATCAGCAATAAAAACTCTCTGAGTCAAGAAAGGTACAGGACTAGATGATTTTACTGGTAAACTCTCCCAATTCATAAATATCTTTTTTTTTGGCAGTGGTGGGGTTTGAATTCAGGGCCTCATACTTGCAAGGGAAGTGTTCTACCACTTGAGCCATGCCCCTAGACAAATTCTACCAATTCTTCTCAACATACGGCAAAAAATTGAAAAAGAGGTTAATTCTTCATAACTTTTTCCGAGGCAAGCATTGTTCTGATACCAAAACCAGAAAAGGACACAGTAAAAGAAAATTATAAACTAATATCTCTAATGAACACAGATGCAAAAGTTCCCAATAAAATACTATCAAGTCAAACCCAATAGTACACCAAAAAGATTAGATGTCATGATCAAATTGGATTTATTCCAAAGTTGCAAGGAGGTTCAATATATGCAAATCAATAAGTGGTATATATCACACAAACAAAATGAAGGACAAAGCTCATATGATCATCTCCATACATGCAGAAAAAGCATCAATTCAACATTTCTTCATGAAAACGCTCAACAAATTAAGAATAGGCGGAAGATACTTCAACACAATGAAGGCTACTCATGACAGACCCAGAACTTTCAGCATTTCTTCTAAGATCTGGATAAAAAGACAAGGGTGCCCACTTTTACCACTTTTATGCAACATAGTGTGAGAAGTCCTAGCTAGAATAACCAAACAAGACAAAGAAATAAAGGGTATCTAAATTGGAAGAAGTCAAATTGTCATTGTTTGCAGATAACATGATCTTTTTGTGTGTGTGTGGTGCTGGGGTTTGAACTGAGGACCTACACCTTGAGTCACTCCATCAGCTCTTTTTTGTGATGGGTTTTTTGAGGTAGGGTCTCATGAACTATTTGCCTGGGCTGGCTTTGTACCACTATCCTCCTAATTTCTGCCTCCTGAGTAGCTAGGATTGTAGGTGTGAATCACCAGCACCCGGCAACATGATCTTACATAAATACAAAACCCCAGACTCCCACAAAAAACCATTAGTAAATTTAACAAAATTGCAAGATACAAAGTCTACATACAAAAAAGTCAACAGAGTTGCTGCATGCCAATAATGAATTATCTGGAAATTGCCCACTCATCCAATTTTCAAATGTATTATCACAAAGTTATTTATATTTTCTGATTTTTTTTTAATCTTGGGAGTTTTTCTGTGTTAATGTTCAATTTTTTTCTATTCCAAATATGACTTGTGTTCTCTGTCTTGCCTGGTCAATATTATCAAAGGTTTTTCAGCTCTGTCATTTTCACCAGATTTTGGGTTTGTCGAACCTCTCTGACGCTGCTTTATTTTCAACGCCATTATTTACTGTTGTTTCTTTCACCTATTTTCTTTGACTACTCAATTGTTCTTTCCCTCATTTGTTGGGTTAAATGAACAGCTTACTAATTTTAAATGCTTCTTATATTCTTATACATGCCTTAACTAAAATTGTAATTTTAGTTGTATTTCACAGGTTTTGACAAATAATGATCCTGGTGCCACTTAAACAATTTTTAATTTCTATTATACCTTCTATAACCAATAATTTAAAGAGTTTTTGTTTCCAAAATTACAGATAATTTTCAATTATCTTTTTGTTACTATTCTCCAATTTTATTTTATTGTGGTCAGAAAATGAAGACTGCTACAGATTATTTTATATTTGTTGAGACTTCCTTTATGGTTCAGCATATGATCAATTTTTAAAAGTTCCATGTGAGTGAAAAGAATGTGTATTTCTTATTTGCTGGGGATGATTGTTCTCTTTTATTTTCTACCATAACCATGTATTATATTTGCTCTCTGAAAAAAAAAACAAATTACCAAATTAAAAGAGCTAATTACATAATGATTGTTAAAAAGTAACAGATCTTCAAAGGAAGTTCCAGTCGGATTTACTATATGCTAAGTACTGTGGTACTTATTTATCTTATTTAGTCCTCATAACACTCTATAAGAAACTATAATTATTACCCTCATTTTGCAGATGAAGAAATAGAGATTTAAGAAAAGATTAGGTAGCTTTCCAAGTTACACAGTTAATAATAGTCTTGTGCTCTATGCTATATAATATCAACACTGATATATTTGAATATATACACCATACATGTGTTCATACGTATATAATATATGTAAAGTAGAAAGCAGGCACATCAAATTGATCCAACTTTAAAGACATTACATAGTATATTTAGGTAGTCATAAAAAATACTGATGAGAGATAGAAGATGAAATACCTCTGGTAGTTTTTTCATTCAGATTCACACCATATTTTGCCAAAGCTCTAATTACATCACTTTGTCCAGCCATGCAAGCTGCATACAACAAATTTCTTCCAACAATATCTTCTTCCAAGAGTAGCTGCATGGCATGTTCATGATGAGGATTTTCAGGATCCTCAAAAATCTTCTGCAAACTCTCTATGTCCCCTGTGAGAGCAGGTTCTAAGAGAGGGTTCTCAATGCTTACTTCCTCCAGTTCTGGGGATTCTTCTTCTTTCTGTGAGAAAAGCAGTGATTTTTCTGTACCCTCTGACTCTACACTTCCTTCTGGCTCCATTAACAAAAAAACCTAAAATCAAAAAAAAAAAAAAAGTAATAGAAATCTACCCAAACACATCAGTACTTGTTTATTTATTTACTCATTCAACTGACAGTAGATGTGATGAAAACACTGCTTGAAAATAATTATAAAATAAGATACTTTGGCCGTTTACTCAATAAAGGTTATTGTTCATTTACTATGAGTAAAAACACACTGCCTAAGTATACACTAAAATGCTAAATGTGTGATATAAACAGCAAATTCAATAGGAACAGAAGAAAGAGATCAGAGTGAGCCAAGTTCATTAGAAGATTGAAAGAAAATGTTAAAGAGACCTATCTGCTTAGAAATGATCCTTCCTGGGGAGAAGTAAGAAATATAATTGAATCGTTGAAACCAAACTAAGAAGACTTTAAAGGTTAGGCACCAACACTTAGACTGAATCCTTTCACACAGTAATATTTATTGGAAGCTAACATACTAAGTACTATGTAGATATTTATATAAATTATAAAAATAACAATCAACTTGATCTCCTGCCCTAAATAACTTACTATTTCAAGAGAGAAAAGGTGACATGCTCACAATATATATAATAAAAGGTGATAAGTAGTAAGTACCATAACAAATGAAATGCTGTGGGAGTTTAGAAGGGACAAAATTAATTCTAGTAGAATTAATTGCAGAACACATATCAGATTGGGAATGGTTCAGGGGAAAGTACCCATTGTCCACTCATACATTCAAGAATGTGGTGGGAGATTCCAAGATAGCGGCTAGAGGGAGGAAGCAGAAAGCGTGCCTCCTAAAGTAAAATCTTGGAGAGGGAGATACACCTTACAGGAAAAACCACCGAGAAGAGGCAAAACTTTGACTCCTCCACACCCCCAGCTCACGCGTAACATTCCTACTCCACGTTAAATGGAGAAACCAGGAGGGCTCCTGCACTGCCAGACACCAGCTCCCAGACTGCTTGGGAAGAAGCAGACCACAAGGTGAGCTAAGCGGTACGCAGTACTCCCACAGACAACCCTGGGCCAGATCAGCATAGCCCCCTGGACAAACCGACACCCACCCCGGGAAAAAAAACTGAATAATAAGCAATAACAACAAAAAAGACACTAGCAAAGAGGGTGGGGTGCCCTGAGCACCAAAGAAGAGGGAGGGGAAATCCCTCATGGAATTGTAAATAAACAAGCCTGCTGGAGAAGGCAGGAGTGCAGCGGCACCCACCCAGCAAACAGGAGTGGAAAAGCTTGTAAAATTGGAGGTGGGAGGAAAACTCCACAGGAGAAGGGGGAAGGCCCACTTCCCATGTGAACTGTAAATAAACACGCTGTCCTGAGAAAGTGGATGCAGTGTCACCTCCCTCAGTGTGCTTGGAAAGGGGAAAGCTTGTAGCAGTGGCAATTGCACACAGGAGAACTCTGAGTAAACAAAGCCTGCAGGGCTAGGTGAGTGCTAAGCTCAACCCAGAGATCTGCATAAATAATGCTGCCAGCAACAGCAGGCTGACAGCAGCTGGCAGGCAAGCCATACCACAGGTAGCCATTCACAGAACTGTCTCCAGACTCTTTTTTTTTTTCTTCCTACCTTTCATGAGACAACAACCAAACTACACCTGCATGCTGAAAAACTTACTGAAATTGTATTGCATTTGAACTTGGGACACTTTGTGGTGGTTTTTCTTTTTGTTTGGTTTTGTTTGGTTTTTTTTCCCCTTTGATGAGACAATGACAGAACTACTTCTGAGACACCATCTCCAGGATTGGAGGCTGAGGGACTAACACCAAAATTATTAAGACTGAAAATTTATTGCATTTGAACTTGGAGATATTTTTTTTTTATTTTATTTTCTTATTTTATTTTTTTCTCAACCATCTCTCTGTCTCTGTAATGCCTGTTCAGCTTACTGTTGATTAGTACACTATCTCTCCCTGTTTATATCTTTGAAACATTTTTTGTTTGTTTGTTTTGGTTATTTTTGTTTGTTTGTTTCTCCCTCTTTCTCTAACTTCTTTGTTTTCCCTCTCCTCTCACCCTTCCATTCTAAATATCACCATTATTACTATTACAAGCTAGAAAATACTTAACTGCACACAGTACAGAGACAATAACAACACCAAGGGCAATGACAGGAAGACAGAAAAACAGGAAACAGTTTTTCCGCACAGCAAAAATTAGTACAGGAACCAGAGGGAAATGAAGAAAACAGATACTCCAGATCCAGATCCAAAAATGAAGATAAACTAATGCCAAAGAACCCAATGAAGCCACAAGAATAATCTAAAAGAAGAATACTACAGGTAATCAATGAGAATTTTATAGATGATACTGGATATGTCACCAAAATGTACAGGAGACACTCCTCAGAAATTCAAAATACAAAAATAGAGAATTTGGAAAAAGCACAAGAAGAAAATAAAAGAAACCATAGAAGCTGTAGTAACACTCAAAGTGAAAACAAAGAACATGATTATAAAGAGATAAATGAACTCAGGAAAATA